CAGCAAGAAAGCTAATTTTATGAGAAAAATCTGGGCGAAAGATTCACCCCAATTGGAGTTATGGATCTCCAGATATAAAGGAAACGGTGAAGGGGCAGAAACAGAGAACGCAGAAACAGAGAGATAGATCCAATCTCGGAGGGGCTCTCGCCCCTCCCAAGCCATGGGAGCCAAGGACCAGAGGGGAAACCCTTCTCCCATCTAGGGAGGAGGTCAAGGAAGAAGAAGAAGAAGGGGGGATCTCTCCCCCTTGCTTCCGGGGGCGCCGGAACACCGCCGGGGACCATCATCATCACCGCGATATTCACCAACACCACCGTCATCTTCACCAACATCTCCATCACCTTCCCCCCTCTATCTACAGTAGTCCACTCTTCCGCAACCCGATGTACCCTCTACTTGAACATGGTGCTTTATGCTTCATATTATTATCCAATGAAGTGTTGCCATCCTATGATGTCTGAGTAGATTTTCGTTGTCCTATTGGTGGTTGATGAATTGCTATGATTGATTTAATTTGCTTGTGGTTATGTTGTTGTCCTATGGTGCCCACCATATGAGCGCACGTGTGGATCACACCATAGGGTTAGTTGTATGTTGATAGGACTATGTATTGGAGGGCTAGAGTGACAGAAGCTTCAACCTAGCATAGAAATTGATGCATACAGGATTGAAGGGGGACCAATATATCTTAATGCTATGGTTGGGTTTTACCTTAATGAACGTTAGTAGTTGCGGACTGCTTGCTAATAGTTCCAATCATAAGTGCATAGAATTCCAAGTCAGGGATGACATGCTAGCAGTGGCCTCTCCCACATAAAATTTGCTATCGGTCTAGTAAAGTAGTCAATTGCTTAGGGACAATTTCACCACTCCTATCACCACTTTCCCACACTCGCTTTATTTACTTTATTGCATCTTTATATAAACAGCCCCTACCTTTTATTTACGTGTTCTTTATTATCTTGAAAAACTATCCTACAACTCCTACAAAGTACTTCTAGTTTCATAATTGTTCTAGGTAAAGCGAACGTCAAGCGTGCGTAAAGTCGTATCAGTGGCCGATAGGACTTGAGAGAGTATTTGTTCTACCTTTAGCTCCTCATTGGGTTCGACACTCTTACTTATCGAAAGAGGCTACAACTATCTCGTATACTTGCGGGTTATCACCACCCTAAGCAAATGCAGAGAACACACTTCCAGTGTTCTTGTGTGATGTTGTGTGATGTTGCCAACAGCAAGATGCGGCGAATAACTTGGTAATCATTACTCCAGTAGTTAATAGTCGATTAGTCAAGCGACTGCTAATCATCTGGTGGCCTTGGACTTGTGATTGTGGTGTTGTGCTCTAACCAGTGGCATGATTTACAAGCTATGGTAATTTTAGGTTTAGGGAAATATGTACTGTTGCTCCTGATCTAACCAATTGGCCACTATCCAGTTATCCTGGTATGTGTATGGATGTGTTTATGTGGATTTGGTCTAATCTGTCTCCTCCTGTTGATCTACTGGTCCATGCTCTAGTTCTATTTCATGCCTATGAACTGGTTACTGTGGATTTGGTGCTGCTCTAGCTTCTTTGTGCATATACATGTGCAGTCAGTAACTAGTGCAGTCCAAGCCTTCTAAAATGATTGCCTTTACTGTCCATGTCTGTTAGTTCCATGATCGAATCTATTCTGTTCTGTTCATGTCTGTTAGTTCCATGATCAACTTGTATATGCAGTCCAAGCCTTCTAAAATGATTCCCTTTACTGTCCATGTCTTGATGTGAATTGTTCTTAAAATGGTTTGCTAGATAGATCCAAACTGTGGTTTTGTGTACAATAGTTTTGCATTGTATGGGCTAAATTCTGTTATCCATCAGCATGTTTGACTTGTCATTTATGTGGAAGTTTGATGGTGACATTATAAGTTGTGTATGCAATGGTACCTGGAAGGCTGCACTGCTTAACCAGCTTGCTGTTAGAATTGTTTCAGTCATTAATGTTTTCCTTAACTCAACTCGTTTAAGATTTGTGCTAGTATGTGACCTGCCTATAGATAAGAGTTACACCCCAACCATTTTAACTATGATTGGTAGTATTACTTTAGATTTGACGGTGAAAGTGCATTTGTTAACTGTATTCTAATGCTCTCATATGTAAGAAATGCATGGATTAACTCATCCTTATTGATCAATCCTCTCTTTTAATTAATAATGTATGCATGCCTTGTATGTTTTGTGTTCTTTACTATACTGTTTTGGCCTCGGGCAATTAAATATTGTATCTGTTTTTATTGTGATATGCAACTCTTCAAAAAAAAGAAATTGTATTATGGAATTACTCATCTGCATGGAATTTCTATGTATTCTAGTAGTTTATTTTTTATCCTTTATTGATGTATTATGGAACTTGACCCTAACTTACTGCACATCGTAAGCTTAGGCTGTTCAGGTGTGCACGTGGTTGAGAATCCATTGATTCACTCAGCACGATCACTCTCAGCCACAAGTATCAATCACTCTTCTGATTAGTATTTTAGTCACGGTGGTGTACCTACACAGCTTTGCTGATTGATAGCCCTGTTGTACCCACAAGCTAGCAGCGGACTAACAATTTGTACTGAATTAATTGATGTACCTAGAGGAAATAAACAGTAAACTAGAGACCCAGATAATTGTTGGGAATGATGGTGATTGTCGATGTGTGAGTACAGTTTCTTATTGCCTTGTGTCAATGAACCCACTGATCTGAAGTCAGTCCTTAATGTGTGGATGGTTGTGTTGTTTTGCAGGTTGTGGGCACCAAGGTACTACTACTACTACCTTCAGATTGCCACGTCAGATCCGACGTGGCCTGGGCAGACGGCTAGTGACCAAAACAAAACAGTAGGCTTATTTTGATCGTAAATGTCTACGACCTTCTCACAGAGAAGGTCAAAAATGTCAGTTTACGATGGTCAGCTTTTGACCTTCTAGTTTTGGTCACAAAAAGGTCACAAATAGAAAACTATGATCATTCAGTGACCAATAGTGGTGGTCACAAGTTGACATATTTCTTGTAGTGCAAAGATACGAGTGTTCTGGTGGAGAGTACTTCGCGATATTTTACCAGATTCAGTAACACTCAACTATAGGCATATCAAGCCCATTGGCAGGTGTGATATTTGTCGGGCTATGAATGAAGATCTGATGCATGCTTTGGTTCACTATACACATGCAAAGAGCTTCTGGGCAGCGGCCAGAGACCGCTTTGATCTTCATTTACCAACCTTGCGTTCGGATACATGGGCTAGATACATCTTGCTAACTCTATTTTCTCTGATGATGATAGATGCAAGATAATCACCATCATGCACTCGATTTGGTCCTCCCGAAACAGATGGACACACGAAGAGGAGGGTTACAATGCTGTGCAGGCAATAAAGTGGGTCCATGAGACTCTATCTTGGATGGAACTCCCGGCGAAAGGGAGAAGGGGCTTGTCGGGCTAGTGTTGGAGGCCGCCAGAGCCGGGCTGGGTGACCATCAATACTGATGGTGCGCTAGCTATGCATGTTCCAAGGGGTGGGGCGGGCGGGGTCGCTCGGTCTCATCTCGCTTTTCTGGGAGCTTGGAGCAAGCCCCTTCCAGGGGTCTCGGATGCTTTCACGGCTGAATTACTTGCTTTCAGAGAAGGCGTGATCTTTGCCGTGCTACGGGGCTTTTCACATATCATGATTGGGGTAGATAGCATGGAGCTTGCCGACCTTTGGAATTCGCGCAGCAACACGCGATCGGTTGCCGCCCCTATCTTGAAGAATTTGGAGGAATTAGTAGCTAGTTTTGTTTCGTTTTCGGTTACTCATGTTGGGAGAGCTTGTAATATTCACGCTGTCCGCTGATCTGTGTGCTAAGCTAGCTTGTACACTAGATGAGACTGATAGTTGGATCTCTGCGAGTCCAGATTTCCTAGTAGACTGCCTTCGAGCAGATTGTAACGCTTGATTCTGAAGTACTCCCTCGGCCCCATAAGTGTCAAAAAAACGTCTTACATTATGATACAGATGGAGTAATAAACTCCCTAGTTTGATGGGAAAAAAATATAAGCATTAACCCTCCCGTTTAGTTAGCGTTTTCGTTTTATTGGAGCTTGACTCTTTTAACTTGTCTCTTTCATAGGCTGGCGGGGATACATAGCTTCTTTTTCCGTGTTTGAACAGGTATATGTGGCCGTATAGGACTTGGATTCCAAACCATCACGTTGCTAGGTTCGTACGTGGCTATATACTTCGTGTTCGAAGTGTAGGACTTGGACTCCAAACCATTATGTTGCTACGCTGGTTGGGAACACGTCCGATCCGCGCTAGAAAGTAGACAACCAGCGCCGCCGGCCGGCCGAGACGAGCCACCGGCCCACCGCCATGGCGCAACTGCCGGGCAGTTTTCCGAGGCCCGAGGTGAACGACGCCCTGCACTTCGTGGGGCAGGTCAAAGAAATCTTCGCGTCCGATCTGGCCGTCTACGACGAGTTCCTCGGCCTCCTCGGCCGCTTCTACCGGGGCGAGGTCGCCGCCGACTCCCGGGCCGTCCTGGCCAGGCTGTTCGCGTTCCTCGACGGCCATCCCGACCTTTCGCAAAGCCTCCGCGCCTTCTTGCGCCGCCCCTTCCAGCACGGAGCCGACGAGCCCGTCATCCGCGAGGAGGATCGTCCGCCCAAGCGGCCCAAGAGGGAGCGCCGCCACCCCCACCCCGTCGACGCGGACTGCGCCGAGGCCATGCGGTTCCTCGAGCGGGTGAAGCGGGCGGACGCCGGGCTCTACGACAGGGTCCTCGCGCTGCTCTTCCACGTCGGGGCGGAGGTCAAGCTCGACGCCAATCAGATCTACGACAAGGCCCGGAGGATTTTCGGGCCGGCGCACGGCGATCTCCTCCGCGGTTTCATGGCGTACCTTCCCACGGGACGTGACTTTCTGAGGCGACGCCCTCTCCCCAAGAAGGAGCCGCCAGAAGAGCGCCCTGCTCCGGCTCCGGCACCAAAGCGCAAGGCCCCCGCCGCCGCGATCCCTGCCACCGACGCGGCTGGCAAGAAGAAACCCCGCGTCGACGAGCGCAGGACGACCAACCGACGCGCCTCCCCAACAACCGTCGACGCCCCCAAGAGCGGCGACAAGTTCTCCAAGTTTAGGGAGGCGTGGGAGTTCGAGACCGCGTACACCAAGCTCGTGGTCACCATGAGACGCACCAAGAAAGCACTAGAAGAGCTCAAGCCAAAGCCAGAGAAGAAATCGCCGGAAGAGGTCAAGCCGTCGTCGCCGTGCCACCGCATGCGGCCGCGCACGTTCGAGGAGCTCTACCCCGGGCGCGAGTGCCGGGAGGTTCTCCGGGAGATGTACGGCGACAGGTTGGGACCGATGCGGGAGGCGCTCGAGGACGGCGCGCGCACCGAGCTGGCTCTGAGGACGATCAAGCGCAGGCTGGAGAAGCTGGAGCAGGCGGCCGTGAAGATGACGAGGGAGCGGCGGGATCCCGCCCGCGTTGTGCGCCCGATGTGCGAGCTTGTTGTAGATCGGGTGGCGGTTCTTCGGGGTCGCGCGGAAGCGGAAAGTGCAGCGGCGCTCAATCGTGATGGCCCGTGCGAGAGCCCGGCCGGCATGTCCGAGACCAAGATTGCCGGTGAGCAGTGTGGCATGATTTAGCTTCCGAAAATCGATGGTCTTGTTGTTGAAGAGGTTCATTGAAGTGTGTGCCAAAAAAACCAGTCTCACAATATAAGATCATTTTTCAAGCTATCGAGGCGGAGGGAGTAAAAATAAGTGCTCCAAAATAGGTCCTTTTGAGTCCTGAATTATTTTTTTTTGCACATTGGTATAGAAAAAATATTGACCATGTATTAAAAAAAGATGAAACAAATTTGATCATGTATATAAAAAGTTAATCAAGCATTTAAAAAATGTTGAGCAAGTATTTAAAAATATTAAATTTGTATAGAAAAAACGTTGATCATGTATTAAAAAATGATGAAGTTTTTTCATCATGTATATATAAATGTTAATCAAGCATTTGAAAGAATTTGAATGAGTATTTGAAAAATGTTAATAAGGCAATTGAAAAATGATAAATGTGTTTATAAAAAATGTTGACGCTGTTTAAAAAACTGTTAATATTGCATCTAGAAAATGTTAATCAAGCATTTGAAAAATATAAAAATGTGCATAGTGTATTAGAAAATGTTGATCTTGTATTTGAGAAATATTAATCAAGCATTTCAACAAATTTCAAAAGTGTGTATAGAAAAATGTTGAACATGCATTCAACAAAATGTTAATATTGTATTTGAAAAATGTTAATCAACCATTGAAAGATGGTAAATATGCGTATAGAAAAAAGTTTACTATGTATTACAAAAATGTTAAATTTGTATTGAAAAAAGTTAAACAGGTATTAGGAAAATGTTGTTGACATATACAAAAAAATGTAGAATAAAAACCGAAAGAATCAAAGAAAAACCCAAAATTAAAATAGAAAAAGGAAAAAAACAAATTAAAGAAAAAAAGAAAATGAAAAATAAAACCGAAAAACAATGCAAAAACAAATGAAAATAACTGGGAAAACAGTGAAAACCAATAAAGAGAAAAGGAATAAACTATAGAAACATTGAACCAAGAAAGAAACAAAAACAAAAGGAAAAAGAAACCACTGAAAAAAGGTGTTCTTTACGGCCTGGCCCATTCGGCCCGTCACTCGCTTCGGCTAAGCTTTTGCTTTTGTGTGGGAGGGAGCGAGGCAACCACCAGCACCAGGAAAAACGAGCGGACGCCGGAGAAGGGAGGGGAGAGGAGGATGGCAGCGGCGGCGGCGGCGGAGGGCGCGGCGGCGCCGGTGGCGGCGGCGATGCGGGCGGTGCTGGCGCGGGCGGGGCGCGCGGCGGAGCGGTCCGGGCGGGCGGCGGAGGCGGTGCGGGTGGTGGCGATCGGGAAGACCAAGCCGGTGTCGCTGCTGCGGCAGCTCTACGACGCCGGCCACCGCTCCTTCGGCGAGAACTACGTCCAGGAGTTCGTCACCAAGGCGCCGCAGGTGAGGCCGACCTCCTCCGGAAGTCCGGATTGGCTTGGATTGGACTGGATTGGGTGGCTGGATCCCCTTCTGTTTGCTGGCTGATTGCGATTCTGTTGTGTTCTCCTGTCGTGCAGCTTCCGGAGGACATCCGGTGGCATTTCGTCGGGCACTTGCAGAGCAACAAGGTGAAATCGCTACTAGGTACGGTCAAGATTTCCCATGGCGTGCCGCGTCCGTTTGCACGGAGGATTTGACAAAATGGTTGTGGAAGGATTGTTCTTCTTTGCCATAACACCACATCTCACATCTCACATAGATGATTCTTTTTTATGCTATCAGAGTAGGGGAACAGCAAAGTTAGATAACTAGTTAGTGATACAAACCTTGTACTCAACGACATAAGAAACTGATTTATGAATATCTAAGCATTTCAACTCTGCCTCTGAGCCTCTCGTAAACCGTAACAATGTTTTATCAGTCTGCACCATTGGGGCTTCAAGCATATAGATTGTCATACTTATTAGGCTACAACACAATTATAAATAACTTTTATTTTGAAACTCAACCCCCATACACAACTGTAAGTACACACGTGTCCTTAGGTTTTACGATTCTAATTTTCTAACCAACTAACCGTCACAGCCGCTATACTGCTTAGACTTTAATTACCTGTTTCTGCCGTTTTGCAGCTGCCGTTCCAAATCTTGACATGGTTGAGGGTGTAGGTAATGAAAAGGTAAGCAAGCAGCAACAGACATATGTTATGCTTAACAGTTGAATGCATCTGAACCGCATAGAGCTAGTATGAATTTATATGTGACATGTCTGCACAGGAGGAGGAGAATACTGATTACAGCATATTTGTTCATCCTTATCTGCTCCCCTTGATTATATTACATAACGCCGTCATGCTTTCAGATTGCCAATCATCTGGATCGTGCTGTCGTTAGCTTGGGCAGGGAGCCTTTAAAAGTTATGGTGCAAGTAAACACTAGTGGAGAAGAATGTGAGTACAGAGATCTTAAACTGATCCAGTAAATTAATATTGGTTTTAGGATATATCTTCCCAGGTGTTTCAAGTAGTCAGTTGTTACTTGCATTTACACTACAATCTTTAAATAAAATATCGTAATGTTCCATTATTTCAAAAGCCATGCCATAAGATATATTCAAACTTTTCTCCTGATTCAAGTCGCTGCCATGCTGTTGTATATTGCTATCCTTCCACTATGATTATGTTATGATGAATTCACTGATGTAACACTTTGGTTATGATTCAGCAAAATCTGGTATTGATCCTTCTAAATGCGTGGAGCTTGCTAAGCATGTGAAACTAGCTTGCCCAAACTTAATATTGTCAGGACTGATGACAATAGGGATGAAAGATTACTCGTCAACACCGGAAAATTTTAAGGTGGCTTTCTATTATGACATCATCATGAATAATCTTTCTGTGTTGACACTTCCACAAGCTGTTGTTTCGTTTGATCTGAATACAGGCACTGGTAAACTGTAAGCTTGAGGTTTGCAAGGCCCTCGGGATACCGACAGAACAGTTTGAACTATCCATGGGAATGTCCGGTGACTTTGAGCAAGCGGTAAGAAAACATTAATCTTTCAAGTTTATCTGGGGTTTTGGCCTGTGGGAACATGCAATCAAAACCAGAGTTTTGGTGCAAACGTGATACAATTCTTGGACCTCCATTAATCCTCGGAGCAAATTTGACATTTCCTGTTTCGCTTTCTTTGTTCAGATAGAGCTGGGCAGCACAAATGTGAGGGTTGGGTCAACAATATTTGGACCAAGGGAGTATCCAAACCAAAAGCAGAATTAAAGAACATGTGCTTCTTGTGCTCTTCGACAATTCTTATTGCCTATGTGCATTGTATGTATGATGGAATATAAATGTACATGTAAATATCTGATGTTTAGAAGTGTGTAATTCCATAAAGGACACTGGAAGAGAGCGAGATATAGCTCCATTACTAAGGGCAGCCTTTGCCCTGAATGAACATATTCGGGGTATATACGCCCTGGTATTGCATTATTAAGAGTGAAGAATATTGCAGCCCATTTTCTTCAAAGAGTATTAGCACTTCTAAATTCTAATGGCATTTTACCTTCTATATGCCAGTACTTTTTGAACTGCAGATTTTGGTTTTTACATTTGTGTGCTTTAGTCACTAATAGACTAATGTACAACATAACCAAGTATACTTCATAGACACGGATGTCGGATTTCGGATTCCGGCAGACCCTTAAGGTTCGAAATCTGGGGTGCGCACGGAAATCACTCCCCGTACCGACTCACGTCTCGTCGCCTCGCAAGGATCTAGGCTACACGAAGAACAACATAAGGGACACAAGGTTTATACTAGTTCGGGCCACCATTGTGGTGTAATACTCTACTCTAGTTTGTGGTCTGGTGGATTGCCTCAGGGGCTGATGATTAACAATACAAGGGAAGAACAACCTCGCGAGGGATGTTCTTGTGTTGGTGGTTCTGGCTAAGGTTCGACCGGTCGCCCTCCAATCCCCCTGCCTTGAGGGTGGCTAGTCCTATTTATAGAGCAAGGTACTCTTCCCAAATATTGAGCGGGAAGGGCGCCAACAATTGGCCATTTTGAAGGGGAACATCTAGTACACTTATCCTGACTAAAGTTGGTCCTCGCCTGCCAAAGGCTCTGATGATGACGCCGACTTGGGCTCCACGATGACTTCCATCCTGCCGTTCTGCTGGTCTTGGTGTTGTTGCATCGAAATGGTTGCCTTTGCTTGATACCCTTGCCTGCGCTTGCCCCCTTTGCACCAAAAAGGAAACAAGGACACTGCGCAGGCCGGCGCCCGCCTGGCGCCCGTCTGGCTCTGGTCGTCATGGCTAGCGTCACGGGCACCTCGTGAGGTGCCCCGCCTTGAACTCTCCGCCTCCTCGCGAGCCAGCCTGATGAGGCTGCGCCTCAGGAAGCTTCCTGTCGTCCGCCCCGCGAGGCTTGGCCCCTCGCGAGGGTCTTGAGCATGTGCCGATGAAGATGGGCCATACTGGGCCACTCCTTGAGCCACGCTGCAGGCCGCAGGCAGGCAAGTCTGGGTACCCCCGTTCCCAAAACGCCGACAGTAGCCCCCGGGCCCAAGGCGCGCCCGGACTTGGCTTAGCAGAGAAGCGAAGGGGCAAGTGCGAAGCGCCGCGGGCCCCAACACCCTGCGGCCTTGGGCGCCGCGTGGCGGTTGATTGGACGTGGGCGCCCCCGCTTCCCCACAACGCCTTGGTAACCGCACGACTTGACAAGTCCCTGCATGCAAAACGGGTCATGATTACCTGTGATCGTGGAGGCCGACGGTTGGCCTCCTCCGGCTATATGTACGGACGGCGCGAGCCTTTCCAGTCCATCCCTTCCTGCTACTCTCCTTCTTCCTCCTCGCCTTTGCTCCACCTTACGCCAATGGCGCCAATTCGCTGGTTCTTTGCGGAAGAGAAGGGAAAGACCCCCCGAGAGGGTCCTGTCCCGCTTCCGCCGAAGAAACGGCCCGTCCTCTGCCGTGGAGACGGGGGTGCTTGGCAGGAGGTGTCGAGGCCCTGGTTTGAGCGGCCGCCGGCTGGGTTTCCGCTGCCCTTGTACGCCCGGATCGAGGGTCCTGGAGAAGAAGGCGTCGAGCGACGTCGCCAGAGCCGTCGCCATAGCCGTCGGATCACGGCAGTGCGCGTCGTTTCCCCTAGAGTTCACGCCGAGGACTCCTCTCGCGAGCTTGTGCTTCACGCCGCCATGCCTCCCCGATCTTGGATTCGCCTTCCTCCCTCCTTCGCCTTCGAGATCCCTCCAAGGGGGGCTCTTGAGCTCTGGCTGCAGCATGCCGACTGCAGTACCCCTGCGACCGAAGCGGAGGTCGAGGTCGTTGCTCTGGGCAAGGTCTACGTGACCCGGGGCTGGGCGAGATCGCCCGAGTCTGCCGATCGGAGGGGGCCCTCGTGATCCACCTGGATTACGATGGCGCCTCCCTGATGCTCTTCAAGGTCTTCGACGAAGAAGGACGCCGGCTGGAGTGCTGCCCCAGAGGCAGCGGCCGGAGCTCTGGAGCGGCGAGGACCAGGCCTGTCACCCGCCCTTCCAGCAGCTCCTCTGGTGGCAGCGGGCGCGTCGCAGGGTCCAGCGACTCTTCCGGACTCTTCCTGACCCGGGCGACGAGTGACGACAGCTACGAGCCCCCGAGCTCGCGCCGTGCCCGAAGCGTGGCAGCTGCATCAGGTCGTCGGCGCCATTGATCTGGATGGAGTTGGCGCCGACACTTGATGGCCCATTGTTGATGATGGCGTCTGCCGTCGTGGTTCCTATAGTTAGGACTCCTTAGGATTCGCGTCTTTCATCCGTGCGAGGAACTGAAGTACCACCCCACGGGGGTATGTAAGGCGCTAGCCATGACCTTTGTGAATATGTATCCTTATTATGAATTGGTGTGAGATGCTCGTCCCGTCTTAGCTTAGTTCCTCCTTTCGAACCTCGCGAGGACTTGATGCTTTGCGCCGACAGGTCCCGGTCCCCAGGCAAGCTTCAGCCGTCGCTGGTGTGCCAGGTCGCGATGCCGTGGTCAAGGCCAGGAGGTGAGCGGCCCGAGGTCCAGTAAGAGCCCCTGAGTCGTGATGCTCAGGAGGTCCCTTTTAGCACTCAAGCAGCCATCGTTCGGTGAGAAAGGAGCGCAACGTTGCTAGTACGGGGCTGCATTAGGTGCAAGGTTGGTGTTGCGATAGCTAGTGGCTCCGGAGGATGACTTATCTCAAAAGTCTGAAGCCACTCCTTGGCGCGACGCCGGCCCGCGCGTCGGCAGCTGAGGAGTTGCCTGGTGAGGTCCTCGCGAGCCTCTTCCCCCTTTCCCTTACTCCCCTTCATGCTCTACGTCCTCGGGTCCCGGCCCTCGAGCGAGCTCAGCCATCGCTGGTATGCCAGGTCGCGATGTCGTGGACAAGGCCAGGAGGTGAGGGCTGGAGAGCCAGTAAGAGCCCGTGAGTCGCGATGCTCAGGCGCCCCCCCCCTTTAACATGCAAGCGGTTCGCACGGTCGAGAGGGAAAGAGACGCCGCGAAGGCCTCGCCCAACGTTGCTCCTTAAAGATATCCTGCGAGCTCATCACAAGGAAAACGAGTGTTGCCGTTACAATTGCCAGCCAGCTACTAGTTGCTCTGGAGGGGTGACGAGGGCACTGAGGGCCTGGTGAGGTGGCGCCTTGCGGGGTTGCCGCGGCCAGAGCTCAGCCACTCAGGTTTGTCGACGTTGCAGGGACGGACCCATGCGCAAGCGTCGTGCTACTAGGGAGCAGCTCCATAAGTTGGTGTCAATCGAGCGGGCGATTAAGTCAAGCACATTAAGCATGAAGGAGCAAATCCATTTAGATAGATGTAGAAAAAGGCAAACACCGCTGGGTCAGGCCCGAGTGGCTTGGGGATAATGCAGCCCGAGGGGCGCCCCCCAACAAAGTAACTTAAAGGCATAAACAAAAGGGATACATGTCGCAGGGACAGACCCACACAGCCTGGGAATGATGCAGCCCTGGGGGCGCTCCTAGCTGAAAATAAAACTCGAAAGATGCCACCTGATGATGTTGGGGATGAAGGGATGCTGAAGTAGCTGACGACACGCACTGCAGAAGCTGGCCCTCACGAGCCCCCAGGCCCAGGAGCCTCGGGAGGCTCCGGAGGCGCTGGCGGCTCCTCGAGGACCATCTCCATCTTTGTCAGGACTGTGGAATGCCTGACCTCCTGAGCCTCCAGCGTGCTCCTCATAAGACATTGACGTGCGGCCGCCGCGTTCGGCAGGCCAAAAGGCATGCGAACATAGTTGTGGGGTGGACCCTCACAACGCCCAACGCGTGAAGGCCAGAGGCGCTCTTGAGATGCGGCTCGGTTGAGCCCTGGTACGTCGATGCAAACGCGCAGCCCACCATCCTCGCCTGGATGGGGAGCTACGACGGGTAAGCGGCGGCTGCCACTCATAACTCTTGGCTCCTGCAGCTCCTGAATGATCTCGTAGATGAACTCCTGAGGGTTTGGCCCTCCTTGCCTTGTTCCTTCCCGAGGGAAACGCGCTTTGAAGCACGCCTCCAAGTGGTGCCCGAGCGCCTCCCTTGTGATCTTGGCAAAGTCGATGGCCCTCCAGGAGAGAGCCCCCGATCCTTGCCCGAGGAGGGCGCCGGGCGCGCCTTCCTATGCGACAGAAGGATGCGCCCCTTGAACGGGCGCGGATCCTGAAGGGCCTGCCTCCCGAGGGTTCGGACCTGGTGATGCCTTCTTCTTCTTAGGGACTGCCTCGGGAAGTCTTTCGCTCCTGTGCTCTGGGTCTTCGATTGCTGCGGCTTGGAAAGCACGCTCAAGGGAGCACACTGCATCCCTCTCCTCGCAAGGCACTGTGATGACTCCACCGCTTCCTGGCATCTTGAGGACATTGTAGCCGTGATGAGTCACTGCCATGAACTTGGCCAGGGCTGGGTACCCAAGGATAGCATTGTATGGCAGGCGAATGTGGGCGACGTCGAAGTCAATGAGCTCGGTGCGGTAGTTGTCATGCTGCCCAAAGGTGATAGCAAGGCGAACTTGCCCTATCGGAACGGTGGAACCATCAGTGACTCCTGAGAAAGGCTTGGTTGGCTGAAGCTGATTGTATGGCACTTGGAGATTATTGAATGTCTCGACGGACAGGACGTTGAGTCCTGCTCCGCCATCAATGAGGGTCCTGGTGACTTGCACATTGCTGATGATTGGGGAGTAAAGCATCGGGAGGACTCCGGTCGTGGCTGCGCACTTGAGCTGATCCGCTGAGCTGAACGTGATAGCGCACGCTGACCACCTGAGAGGGCGCGTGGCCTCAAGCTTGGGAAGGACTGCACTCACCTCGCGAGCAAACTGCTTGAAGATGCGTTGAGAGGCTGGGGCCTGAGCGCTGCCCAAGATGCAAGCGATTGCACGCGGCTCCTGGAAGCCCCCAGCCTCTTTCGTCCTGATGATGGTCTTCATTCCTCCTTGGCTGAGGTGGCAGAGGAGGGAGGCCTGCGTTGCCTTGAGGGCGATCCTCACGAGGCTAATCCCTCCAGCCTCCCTCGCGAGGCTGGTCCTGCCAGCGGTCCTCGCGAGGTCGGTCACGCCACCCTTGGCGAGGGCCACGGTCTTACCATCGTCCTCCACCTCTTCCTCCTCCTCGCCCATAGCCCCGATCGTTGCACTTTGGGCGTCGGCCGGCACATATCTCGCACGGCCCTGAGCTCTTGGCATTCGTTGGTGTTGTGGGTGTGGAGGTCATGGTACACACAGTATCGGCTGCCCTTGGATGACTCAGGCTGGTCCATGCCTCGCTTGGTGTCCGGCTCTGCTGCAAGCACAGCAGCCCCCTTGCATTTCACGTCCTTGACCCTGGGCTTCTTCTCTTCTGGATCGGCAGCCGGAAGCTCGAGGAGGGAAAGGTGCCCTTCCTCAGCCCTGGCGCACTTGGTCGCCAAGTTGAACAGCTCCAGGGATGTGCACAAGTCTTCATGGATTGCTAGCTCCTTTTTCATCTTGATGTCACGCACGCCGTCGGAGAAGGCTGAGATGATGGCCCCTTCAGTCACCCTGGGGATCTTGAGGTGAGCATTGTTGAAGCACTGGATGTACTTTTGCAGGGTCTCTCCTGGCTGCTGCTTGATGCGGCGCAGGTCGCTCATGGCCGGGGGCCGGTCGCGAGTGCCTTGGAAGTTAGCGATGAAGCGAGTGCGCATCTCGTCCCAGGAGCCAGGTTTAGGAGCCAGGTGCGGGCACCATCCTTGAGCGCCATGGGAAACCAGTTCTTCATGACCTTCTCATCCCCGTTGGCGGCTTTGATGCCCAACTCGTAGAGCTGGAGGAACTTCGCAGGGTCCGTCGTGCCGTCGTAGCGCGGAGGCAGATCTGGCTTGAACTTGCCCGGCCAAGCTACGTCGCGCAGCTCAGCGGTGAAGGCACGGCAGCCCGCAGATCTTGGAAGTCTCCGCGCGCTACCGCCAGGAGCAGCGCGGGGTCTTAGCACGCTGGAGCAGGAGCGCGGTCATGACGTGCCGGTGCGGGGAGCACACGGGCAGCTTCTTGAGGACGAGGGATCTCTTCGAAGCTCTTCTCTTGCTACGCGGGCGCTGGACGGAGCGGGACCCGTCCAGGGGCCGCGCGCCTTGGGGCCAGGGCGCCTTCTTGGAGGGGAGGCGGCTGAGGCGCCTCCGGAGCTGCGTTGCCCGCGCAGGGCGGGGGGCGGTGCAGCGAGAGGGATGGTGCAGGGGAGCCCCCAGCGGCGCTGACGAGCTCGGTGATGCGGACGAGCCACTCGTCGTAGATGTCGTCGACGGGACGATAGTGCAATAGCTCTCGCGCCAGGAGCAGCACGGCGTGCGCGTCCGCAGGAGCGCGACGGGCGTGGGACGACGAACCGGCTGGAGTCAGTGACGGGGTGGCGGTGCGGCCTTCTCGCCGCATCGAAGGATGCATGGACGACGCCTGCTGCTCGTTCCCCGCCGGGCCAGTGGCGGCGTTGACGGCAGGCGACGGGGAACGACGGAGGCATCCGCCGACGGGCGCCGTCTGGGCGACGCGGGTGGCGAGAGCAGCCCGGCGCTCGGCGCAGGCTCGACGAGCGTCAGACATGGATGCGACGGACGGCGAAACACAAGACAACGGAAGGCGGATTCCGGCGCACCCCTACCTGGCGCGCCAAATGTCGTATTTCGGGTTCGGGCAGACCCTTAAGGTTCGAACTCTGGGGTGCGCACGGAAATCACTCCCCCTACCAGCTCACGTCTCGTCGCCTCGCAAGGATCTAGGCTACACAAAGAACAACACAAGGGACACAAGGTTTATACTAGTTCGGGCCACCATTGTGGTGTAATACCCTACTCTAGTTAGTTTGTGGTGTGATGTATTGCATCAGGGGCTGATGATGAACAATACAAGGGAAGAACAACTCGCGAGGGATGTTCTTGTGTTGGTGGTTCTGGCTAAGGTTCGACCGGTCGCCCTCCAATCCCCCTGCCTTGAGAGTGGCTAGTCTTATTTATAGAGCAAGGTACTTTTCCCAAATATTGAGCGAGAAGGGCGCAAACAATTGACCATTTTGAAGGAAAACATATAGTACACTTATCCTGACTAAAGTTGGTCCTCGCCTGCCAAAGACTCTGATGATGACACCGACTTGGGCTCCACGATGACTTCCATCCTGCTGGTCTTAGTCTTGTTGCACCGAAATGGTTACCTTTGTTTGATACCCTTGCCTGCGCTTGCCCCCTTTGCACCAAAGAGGAAACAAGGACACTGCGCAGGCCGGCGCCCGCCTGGCTCCGGTCGTCAAGGCTTGCGTCACGGGCACCTCGTGAGGTGCCCCGCCTAAACTCTCCGCCTCCTCGCGAGCCAGCCTGACGAGGCTGCGCCTGAGGAAGCTTCCTGTTGTCCGTCCCGCAAGCCTTGACCCCTCGCGAGGGTCTTGAGCATGTGTCAATGAAGATGGGCCGTACTGGACCACTCCTTGAGCCACGCTGCAGGCCGCAGGTAGGCAAGTCTGGATACCCCCGTTTCCAGAACGCCGACAAGTTGTTCACTTAAGCAAAAACGTCTGCAGCAAACCAAGAGACACTAGTACTAGCCCAGCTGAGTGAAGCACAACAAAAATAACACAATTCTCTTCTTCTTCATCATGTTACAGACCACATGCACAAAGCACACTAGAACGGCCCCTATAATCCCTTGTCCAAGATTTATGTTGCCACCACAATAATGTTGCGCCCAATAGCCAACTTCGATCAACCTGAAGCGCAGTTTGCTTCGCAGCTTGATTTCTCTCCTGCAATGCAGACCAAGAAGACAACACATGTGAGCACTGTGGAAATAGCAGCATTAGGTTTAGCAGGATACATATTACTGAAGCAAGCATTATTCCTGACTTAACGACGAGTCCCAAAGCAACGCTATAACTCTAGCCGAAACTAAACATCTCCCCTGCCCACTTAAAACTCAAAACCCACAAACATAAATCCTCATCTTAACAGGACAGGGTAATCCATGCACATGCACAGTAACAAATGGTGCTCCAAACATACTGTTATAGACACCACTTGGCATGAGCGGTTCCAAGACAGCGACTGACTTCGCTAAACAATGGCATTGGCATTGGACTCACGACCTTCCTTCACGAATAAAAACCATCTCTAGAAATCATTCGTACCATCAGTCACTTCTGTTATAATCTTAATGTAAGCTCCATGGTTTGGGTCCTTAATACAGTCCGGGTCTAGCGCTACTAGTACTCACTAGCCCAAACATCCACCTCTGCACATGCCATTGCTTTCAGGCCTGTCGAACACTTCAAGAACACCCCACCTTATAATGACACACACTAGACTTTTTTCTGGATAGATAGATAAGAGACCAGACACCAAAGCATTGCAAGGGGAGCAGGTATACCCGTCCTTCTGGATTTGCTGCTAAACAGTCATTTGAATATTTTGATCGACAAACAGAAAATGTCAAACTAAATTACTGTAACTAGTCACTAGGGAGCAAATGTACCTTGAGAACTTCTGGATACGGCATCAGCAAATGCTTGGAAGGACCCAAACCGGAGATCCATAATCCTCAGTTCGCCCTGGGTGGTCGATAACGAATTCATGATAAGACCCATCAGCCAAAGAATACTCGCTCCACTTCCCGGAGCACCCAGTGAAGTACAAGCAGTCCCTCCGAACTGCCGGATGATCTGGACCAAGGCAACCGGCAAACTTATCCAAATTAAAGAACAAGCTGCAACCACCAAGGCTAGTAGTCCTCGCCCACTTCCCCTCCCCGGATTGCAGATAGAAAACATGGTACACACATGGAAGGAACTGCACCTCGACAATGAGCAATAACTCACCACGACACTCTGCTAGCCAGAGCATTGGACCTGGAAAAATGTTAACTTCTGGCACACTCAATTTATCTCCAAGAAACGACAATACCACTGAATTCTTGTCAAGCTCGACGACAGCAAGGCGGTAATGCGGGTAAATCAGCACATAGAGGGTGCCCTTGACGAACATCATATTGTAAATCTGGTGGCCTTCATCGCACGGCGCTGCTCGCCAGCGAGCGTCCCCAATGTGGCAGTAGTAGAGGACCCGGCCCCATTGCCTGCAGGTGACGACGAGGTCGGCAGAAAAGACGACTTCTTCAGAGTAGCACGGTTCCGGGGGATCAGGCAGGCGGGCTCGCTCGCCTGTGAGGAGGTGCCGGATGCGGAGCTCGCGGCGGCGGTCCTGGATGGCAACACGGCAGCCGAAGGAGTGGAATTCGGTGGAGCGGAGGTCTGTGCAGGGGAGGCGGAAGCGGAGGATGCGGCGGAGGGGGACGTGAAAGAGGGCCCCCGATGCAGAGGCCATGCGGGGGAAGAGAAGGAGCGGACCCTGGGAGGCGAGGTTGGCCGGCGACGGCGGGAGGAGATCCCGGTAGGCGCGGCAGGCGGCGCGGAGGGCGAAGAAGTCCTCGAGGGTCGTCAGCCGGCTCGCGACCAACGGGATCAACTCCGGCAGGAAGTACGGCGACGAAGAGGCGGGGTTTGTGGTGGGAGCGAGGGCGGTGGCCGACGGCGAGGTGCTCGCCCGGCGCTTCTCCGACGAAGCCATTCCTCGCCGCCGCGTCTGCAGCGGAGTGGGGGGTTGGCTGGTAGTGCCCGGTAAATGCTAGGGTTAGAGGCTTAGGAGGCCTGTTGATGGTCCGGGCTGGGCTGGGCCTGCCATCTATTGGGCTTGAGTCGTCTACTTTTATAATAAGTTGGCGAGGTGATATCTCAAAAAGCAAAAATATTCCCTGCCAAAAAAAAAGACTTCTAAAAAGAAACTACCCTGTCGGCAATCCATGTGCTGTAATCTAGTACAGGGTATGAGCGTAAAATAAAAATTATAGTACTCCCTTCATATCAAAAAATAAGATGTTCATACAAGCAGAAGAAGGAGAGCAATGCTTCAAGAGTATTGAAAAATGTTTATGCCAACATAGTGAACCACTAACATTCTCATGTATAAAGAGATGCCCCTCTTCCTTGTTACTGAATTGTAGGGCCTATTTGGATTCTGCCCAAGTTTGCCCTGCCAATGCATGGGCGTGCCAAATAACCGGCGGAGCTTCCGCTTGCCCACGCCCTGCCAACTGCTGGCGTAAAATTCCAAGCAAAAGTGAACTGAATGGCTGGGTCGGCCCGGGAGTGCCAAATATTTGGCTACCTTCCAAGCGGTTGCTGATGCCCTGGGTCAATGCAAAAAAATTGGTCGGGCACGCATGTGCTCCAATCCAAAAGTCGTAGTGTTATAGATTGTTCACTTTGTTTAGGGTAATAACATTGTTCACTGGAAAAAGAACTGTTGGTTGATCAAAGTTATTTCAGTTTATTTTTCATGGTGTTGTACATGACTAGTTCATTTAAAATGCTGCCATCCTACATACCAGTACTTTTCAACTTCATATTTTAGTTTTAACATTGCATCTCCCTGACATCACCATTATAAAATGTATCAACTCTTTTCTAGGCCCAAATTCGTCAATTCCTTCCTAGCTTCCTTTGGTCTTTGGTTGCACATCTTGGAACAAATGGCAAACAGTCCTTCGCACCTTTTTATTCATTTTATCCTAGATAAGCACAATCAAGTTAAGCATTTTGTAGAGTTAGAACGAACCACACATATCGGCTCAATAAATTTTTAAAATCTTATCAGCTTATTTTTTTTACAATAAAAAATTCGCTAACTCGCGACCTTGGCCATCTATCCTTGATTATTGCCCTCTGAGATTAAACCGGACATGTCCAAGGAACGTACGGGAAATCTTGTGCCAACAGATCGTGGAATAAGTTTAGCGTGAGGTGTGAGGAAAGAACTATTGTCACATATAGTATAATCATTTTCGCTAAAAAAAAGCTTAAATATATTTCAAAAAATAACTACCTCACAACAAATAAGAAGTTTCATCACATTAAGCATTGTTTTGATTTTTTTTATGAGAACAACCAACAAATCCTATTTGCCGCTATGTGCGGCAAACTGTCGACCTGCTGCACAGAGCTGGCCTAGGAGGGGCCTATCTAGGCCGACACAGTTTATAATTTTTTCTAAAGATCATTGTTCAAACCTTCATAGATTTCTACAGATCTCGGTCCAGGTCCTGATTTTATTCCTTTTTTTTCATTTTCTCGCTACTTCTCTTACCAATTTCTTTGTTTCTTAAGTTCCCTTTCCAAAAAAAGTTTCAAAATTTAAAAATTGTTCGGAATTCGAAAATGTTTCAAAAACATTAAGTGATGTTCATGTTTTTTAAAAATGTCCACTAATTACAAAACTAATATCGCTTTCAAAAGCATTCAGACATTAAATGAAGTGTTCCTGTTTTAAAAAATTCTTCACAAATTCAAAAAATGTTCTCATTTTCGAAAAATATTCAGGAAATTTGAAAATTGTTCAAGAGTTTCAAAAAATGTTCTTATTTTCAAAAATATTCGGGAACTTTGAAAAAATCTTCAAGTATTTCAAAAATGTTAATAATGTGAAAGAAATGTTTGTGTTTTCGTATGATTTAACTTTTAACAATATATGGTCAGGTTTCAAAATATTCTCGCAATGTAAAAACGTGTTTAGGAATTATTCGAAAAAATCCAAAAATTTTTACACTTTTTAAGTATATTCTTCATTGATTTTTAAACTAAAAAACAAAAACAATGGGTGCTACAGTACCCAAGCCGCTGCACAACTGGATTGCTACAGTTCCCGCTCCCACCCACTACATATAGTACCCAAGAAATCGGTCGGCCATGGCGATTTTTCGCATGCCAAAAGGTGGCAATTTTGATGTTGTTAGGATAGGAAGTCCCAACACCAATGCTAGTGTTGCTCTTTGCCTAGCGGTACAATAGTGATTGCCCACACTAGTGTTTTTTTTAGCAACGCCCACACTAGATGTGGGTTGAGCCGCAGGTAAGCAGCGATGCAGGAGGGTTTTGATCACTGGTTTTTAGAAGCTTCCATTTGGGCGAACGGGCGAGCGCGGTGCCCTAATGGGCAGTCCACCATGCTAGCATTTTAGCGAGCAGGGGGTGTAGCCTGTAGGTGATCCTGCATATCAGGGACGTGAGCCCAAGTGTTTAACAACCACAAACAGTCAAAAGGGATTTGTCCATGTAGAATCTTTACATGCTCGTCCAGGTAGTATCATCATCTTGAAAAATTGTCCATTGTTGCATCCTCACATCGAAAGGATTCTCCTCCAAAAATTCTTCATTAAAGTACTTAATGAGAACAAGCCCCTACTCCATTCGGAGAGGCGGAGTGCCATCTTTTGAGCTTGTGCTAGAGGATTTGGTATGGCTCGGTGTGTTCTACCCTCTCGTTCCATGCCTTTTGGACCACCTCGTTGTAATCGGGCATGGATGCCCAAATTTTTTCGAATTTAAAACCCGAGGTCTTCTTGGTTGTCATCAGCAAGAAGTAGCAGACAATGGTCGGAGACGGAAGAGGAGAGTGCATTAAGGACATGGGTGTTGAAGGTTGTGTCCCACTCAGCGTTGTAGAAGAAAGAGTCTAGTTTGCACAAAGGTTGGGTTTGCCCTCTCATTGCTCCAAGTAAATCTCTGGTTTTGGAGGTGGATTTCTTTGAGCTCAGAACTCTGAAGCATTTCCCTCAAACGATTGATCCTGCTGCGGTTAACATTCCTCTTGTTTTTATCTCCCGCTCAGTATATTTGGTTGAAATCTCCGGTGGCAAGCCGCACCGTCTCAAGAGGCAGCTTCTCTAATAGTAGCTCAGCAAAGAAAGTGTCTTTGCAGGAGTAGTCCGTGGGGCTGTAGACAGAAATAATCTTGAAAAGGACGTCGATCCCTTGCACCCGGACCATGGCGGAAAGGCAATACATAGTGAGGTTAATACAGGAGACATCAACAAGGATATCATGCCAGAGCATCAAGATGCCACCCCTGGTACCAGTTGTTTGTCTCTGCCCGAAGCTACGTAGGCCCGCCTAGGAAGGCTACCGTGAACTAATCGACATTGTCGAGCTTTGTCCCTTGGAGGCATACGACATGACATGACGAGGAGGCTATCGTGGCATTGACAGTGGAGCATCGATCCGTGCAGTTGAGACCCCTCACGTTCAGCTCAGGATAGAGTAAGGTCACCGCAAGATTGAACCTACTACCAAGCACCTCTCCCGCTCAAGATAAATCAATCTGCTTGGCCAAAGAAGACAGATAGATCAGAGAGAAATACAAGGCTATAAAATTAAACAATCAAAAAAGATCTCAAAGACTCAAGTAATATCAATGAATAATCTGATATAAACCCACAATTCATCAGATCTCAATAAACGCACCGCAAAAGTTACACCGGATTGATCTAAGAGGAGATCATTGTATTGAAGATCAAAAGGGAGAGAGAGAGAGAGAGAGAGAGAGAGAGAGAGAGAGAGAGAGAGAGAGAGAGAGATTGAGCTACTACTATGGACCCGCATGTTCTGTGGGAACTACTCACACATCATCATGAAGGCAACAAGGTTGATCAAGATTGGCTCCCCAATGGTTTCCCCCTCCGAGAGAATATCAGAAAAGGCCTCCAGATGAGACCGCTTCGGAATAGAGGCTTGCAGCGCCGAAATAATTGTTTTGGGACCTCCTTCGAGGGTTTCTGAATATATAGGAATTTATAGGCCAAAAATTAGAGAAAACGAAGTCACGAGGGACCCCACAAGCCAGGGTGGTGCGCCCCTGCCTTGTGGCCACCTCGTGGGTCTTCTTACCTTCTCCTGAAGCTTACGAGGTTTCCTTTTCTCCAGAAAAAATCATCAAAAAGTTTTGTCACGTTTGAACTTTTGTAGGTATGAATTTCCTAACAAACAAAAAACATGCAGAAAACAGGTCACCGAGCACTGACTTAATAGGTTAGTCCATAAAAATAATGTAAAATGGCATATAAAGCATACAAAGTGATAATATAATAGCATGAAATAGTAAAAAAAAGATACATTGAAGAAGTATCACGGTGGCGCAGTGGATTCCGGCGTTGGTGGGCCAGTCTTGGACGTAGATTACGACGTTGCCCATCACGCTGGAGTTGGTGTTGGACCCCGCCGTATGCGTGGTTGCCACCAGGTGACGTCGCCGCCCCGTGCAGTGCAACTATCTCAGCCACCGCAGGCAGCACCCACCCATCTGTGACAGCCATCGCCCTTCATTAACCTTAGCGCAGACGAGGAAGACAGCGACAACGACAATGCAGTGAAGACAGCCAGTACGGCGGTGACGACCAATCTAGGTTTCCCTTTTAGTTTAAGTTTAGTTTTCTAGTTTAAGATCAAGTATGCATGTTGGATAGTTCGGCCGGGACGTTTGAACTTATATATTATCATTTAAATTGTTTTTTGTCTTTTCTTATTTAAATAAGTTTAAAATCTCGAACGCTATTGTAAAATGTGTCTGACCATTGGACGCATTACGGACGAATGTCATCCGTGTCCGTTTTGCCGACGCAAACGCAGAAAGTGCATGTTCCGTTGGAATTTCTTTTTTCCACAAAATAAACGCAAACGCTCATATACACGTGCATACACTCACCCCTATGAATGCACATACGCACATCCTATCCTTAT